CCCCTATACACTTCAAGGAATATCATTAGTTAAAAACGAACACAGGGAGAGCATGTATATTTAATATTTGGTCGGTGGGCGTGTTTTATATCAAAATACGTTGAGTAGTTGTTTTACGTTACTTTATAAAAACATAACAAATACACGGTAAGCAGTAGAGCTACGTTTCTTTAAAAAACGGTGTTGTTCTCAAAGTAGTATGCATGGTTAAGAGACATAATTAAATATGTTTTTATTTAAATGTTTTTGTAAAATCGTTATATCAATATTTACAATTACGTTTGAATTCCCAAAATTAGATAGTCGGCAAGATAACTTCGTTACTAAGTGTGCTAGTGACCTAATATGATATATACAAGGTCAGTAAATTCTTTATGAATCTCGGTCTTTGCTCACTCTCCGCCCATATAGAATTTACTGACAATGTAAATAATGTTTGAGGTCACAAGCACATTGTGCAATTAAATTTTTTTTTCTATTGCTCAATATACTAGCAGTATTTTCCACAAGGTATATGAAAAAAATTAAATTTGCTGTTAATCTTACTCTTTCCTATGAGAGAATCCATATATATCTTCCAAATATAATGGAGATCGATACTATAAAAAAAAAGTCTTGACTGTATCAGTACTTGTAAGTAATTTTACTAGGGAAGCTAAACAATTGACCGGAATATACATCTTACAGGTACATTTTACACTGAACATTTTACTTCCTGTATAATTTCATGTGAAACGGGCAGAAATATTTTCATCAGTGAATGTGGACTTAAATAATACACGATAATGATTGCTGTCTTTTGTGTTATTCTAAATACCTTTGTATTGAGATATACAAAAGGAGGTGAGTCTTTAGAATTAAAATGTTTAATATATTATTAGTTAGATCACTTCTGTCCAGACATGAATTATTATTGATATGATCATAAATATAAATAAGCTGTTAAAAAGCTATGAATATTTCGAGAAAATAAAGATTTTCTACTCCAGGAATTGATTACCTTTACTGTATTTGGCAAAATGTTTTAAATGTGTGTCCTAAATGCTCCCCAACTTCGCTTTTTATTTGGCCTTTTCAACTTTTTTATTTGAGTGTCAATGATGAGTCTTTTGTAGACGAACCGTATGGACCCTGTTGTTTATCTCTCGGTTATATATAACACTTGTTTAAACATAACCAAGGATTAATTTTTCAACTGGAGTTTCGTAACCAAGAGTTAAAATTCTGTTGTTCAACTTCTTTTAACTCTTCTGTACATTTACCATGGTTAAATTTTGAGAAAACCTGTCTGGTCAATAAATATGATTACTTATTAAAACCAATACGCTGCTCAGCGTCTACGTTCTTTTTAAAAAAAAGTACAACAATATCGTGGACATGACTGAGAACACCTTTTGTTTTGTTTGAAAAGAAGCCTTGATCGTTGATTTATATTTGATTATAAATAAATACATATTCTAACTAAAATATGTTTAATTTTGTTGCATGAACTTGTTTATTGTCATAGAAGATGACAGGGGGAAAATGTTGATTTCAAAATATCTGTTAGGTAGACACCATTTCCCTTGTCAACATCTTACGGTGTTTATATATCTCAACTTGTACGATTCGCTCGTGTATGTAACAATGTTTTAGATTTTAACGAGAGAAATTTATGTATTACTGAAAAATTATTACACCATGGTTTTCGATATCACAAACTAGTCAAAACATTTACTAAATTTTATCATCGGTATAAGGACATCATTCGTAAATATAGCTCAACATGCAGACTTCTTATACGTTCAGGTATTTCACATCCTATTTTTTATGGAAATATTCTTTATCAAGCACAAAAATGTCAGTATTCACCTCTGAAGCTAACAAAACCTTTAAATAGACTTATTAAGAAGGGATATAGTTACGATACTGTTGTCAGGTCATTAAAGATTGCATATTGTGGCGTTAATATTGATTCACTTATAGGGTCTTTGCATCGGCACTAAACACAAATAATTTAAAAACCAGTTGTTGGCATGACACGGGTTGTGTTCTTCTCATATATGTTATGATGGTATGATACTAAACCCCTAACGGGAAGGATTGTGCCTGATATTCATATGATGAAGACATAATCTTTCAATCAGTTTAATTGAAGTCTGGAGCTGGCATGTCAGTTAACTGCTAGTAGTCTGTTGTTATTTATGTATTATTGTCATTTTGTTTTTTTTTTCTTTGGTTACATCTTCTGACATCAGACTCGGACTTCTCTTGAACTGAATTTTAATGTGCGTATTGTTATGCGTTTACTTTTCTACATTGGCTAGAGGTATAGGGGGAGGGTTGAGATCTCATAAACATGTTTAACCCCGCCGCATTTTTGCACCTGTCCCAAGTCAGGAGCCTCTAGCCTTTGTCAGTCTTGTATTATTTTTAATTTTAGTTTCTTGTGTACAATTTGGAGTTTAGTATGGCGTTCATTATCACTGAACTAGTATATATATTTGTTTAGGGGCCAGCTGAAGGACGCCTCCGGGTGCAGGAATTTCTCGCTGCATTGAAGACCTGTTGGTGACCTTCTGCTGTTGTCTGTTCTATGGTCGGGTTGTTGTCTCTTTGACACATTCCCCATTTCCGTTCTCAATTTTACCATGTACGTAAACCTCGATGGAAAAAGGGGGAAGGACTGAGAATCGCAAAAATTAGTTTTTACCTACTTATGTTCGTAGATAACAAAACATGGGTTTTGTTAAACATTTAGTTACCTTCCCAGTCTAGTTATCAACAGGGAATCGTACGTTTGGACATAGCTATTCCTTGGTTTAAATTTTATCCGCGATCCGAAACAAGGTTAAATCTGAATAATTCAACTGAAGATTAAACCAAAGGGTTGAATTAAACCACAGGATGATCAACAGAAAAAAAAACTAGAGTTAAAATTTAACCAAGTGATGAACAACCAGGTCCTGACGTATAAAATGATATTTCTGATGAGTTTATTTACAAATTGTTTTGTGTAATCTACCTATAGACTCATACAGACAATTTAAAAGTAAGGCCTTTGTGATAATTTTAACATTGGCGCCTTCACAGAGTTGAACACGATTATAAAATATCTAAAAATGGAATTTCACAAATAAGTGTAAGTGTTCTAGAGAGTTATAAACACACTAATCTTGACTGAAACGATTATATACGATTTTTTTTTAATCTGACTGTGTGTGTCAAATAGTTATTAACAACATTTTCCAAAACCATATCTATTTGTTGACCATTGATTTCGATCAGACTGATTCAATACCAAAAAAGTAAAAGTCCTGCCTTGACAAGCTATTGCCTGTATGTATGTGTACTTGATACACATTTATTTTTCAAATATTAGTGATATGATATTCTAATTTTGAAAACACACTTACATTTTAAAGATTAATTAAGATATAGTAGACACATGACATTTTTGAAAAATTAAGTTGTGGAGAATACAGGAAAAACCAGCGCTTGATTCTCTTGGTTTTATTTTTTTTTCCGCGTGGGTGGTCCTATACATCTAAGGTTTTTGTTTTAATTTTTGTCGTAAAATAATTTAAATGTTTTCTGTAACTGAAAACAAGTAATCAGTTTATTCATATCTTAGACTTAGAATTCAAAACAAACCAACATATGTAATCAAAGATATGACGCAATTAAAACTTTGACCTTTTTATTTGAATTTGTTATTGTTTTGGGTTTTATTTCTTACGTTGCTATTCATGAATTGAACAAACCAAAGCAAACCGAAAAAAACTGGGTTTTTTTTGGCCTGACATGTGACATTGTATTTTGCGGTATCTTTGGAGATAACTAGTACTGTCATCCCTACTTGTAGGGTCTTAAGTTAAGCTCGCGGTTAAATATCCTTTAATTCAAACACACATATTTATACATAGGAAACAAGAACAACAACATTTCGGCAATATAGTTTATTGATAAGTTGTATTATTCCAATCGGCACCGATTGGTACTCCTTTAACAGCAGAATTGTTCCTGTGTGGCTATTAAAGATTTACTTGTATCAATTATAACTATTATATTGAATGAATACTTGTAAAGAGATGTCTATAAGTGTCCGATAAGGAAACAGTCGAGTGTGTGTGTGTTGATCAAGTATAAGGAAAAACTTATACTTCTGGAGTGGTAGGGTTTACTGTTGACTTTTGTGGGGTTCTTGATGCGTATGTCAAGTTTGTATCATAAAAGCTAGGACACGCTTATACCTCTTGAGTTTTAAAGTCTCAAGTCTGTAGATATTTTATGGAATACATTATAAGCTAATTAGAATAAATTTTTAATTTATCTTTGTGCTCCTTGATTATTTCAATTCTACAAAAGATACTCTCGCTATCAATAATTATATAATCATACCATTTAAATCAATAAAACTCACTTCTATTTGGGATAAAGAATTATGTTCCAAACTATGTTACAGAAACAAGAACATCTGTTAACAGTATTCTACCGATATTCTAATCTCATCAATCGTTTAAGAACATACTACCAAAGGTAATAAACAAAAACTCCGAAAATTGTATGAAGCCAAAATGAGCGAGACCGGGTATGTCAGGAGGTAAAACGTACTTACCTATGCATGCATCTCGCGCAATGCTTAGTAAAACCATTCACAATTATGAATACGACAGAATCAGTAAAATTACAATTCAGATATGCTAAGATCTAAGGTCACAAAGAATTGACGAATCCTAGAACTATTTTTACTTACTAATCGTCCTAAGGCGACAGAATCAAATTTTCAAAACAGCACGAAATTGATCATCTTAGGAGTGCCTCGTATTTAGCATGTCGTGTTATTTTTTGTAAATAATTTCTTCAATCAACCAATTTTTGAGTCGAGATTTCTGTCATTTTACTTGAAAACTTATAATATGAAAACAAACCATTTTGCTTTGACATGCATACCACACATACAAAACAATAAGTTTTAATAACTTAAAGTTACGGGGAATCAGACATAAATAGCATATTCAAACATTTCCGCAAACTTTTACTTTATAAGGATACTAAACAAAAACATGTGACATGCATTTACGGCATACAAATGTACATATTTTGAGACTCAAAATATTATTTTCTTGTCCTGATACACATTTTTGTTTGAAATGGTTACTATTGAGGTTTTTCTTTTTTTTTTATCTTTTGTTCTCCGTAACATTAAACAAGAAATTAAAGCAATCATGGCATTTGACGTTACCACAATCCTGTCTTTTTGTGTTTATAATTTATAAATACATCCATATTTTTTAATAGACAATTGACATGGTAACCAACTGTGTCCCTATACTTGTCGACCTGTTCGTTATTAAGCAAACTTCTTATATAAGATTCGAAAAGATGAAAATAATCTGGCATTACCCTTAAATTCACTTTCCGCCATAATTTTTGTCATGCTGTACGTCTAAACTTAACTTACATTATAGTATCGCCTCTTGTTATGTTCGTTAACTTCAAAACTTATGATCATGCCAATCGAATTGTATGTAAATCATATCTTTATTTAAGGGGAATCGTCAAAAATATTGCACAGTACAATGCCCGTCTCCTTAAAACGAATCAAAACAACATCAAACAATAAAAGAGATGCGAAAGATAAACGTCATTGCTAAAGTTAGAAATAGACCAACAGACAAACAACAATACACACAAAACAACATAGGAAACTAAAGATTGAGGAAAACGAACCCTTAAAAACCTGGGGTTGATCTCCGGTGCTCCGGAAGGGTAAAGAGATCACATTTGGGAAAAAAGGGGATAGGATTGAAGGAACATATCCGATATAATATGTGAAACGGATATTCCACAACGGTCAACAAACTCGTGATGTCGTCCAGAAAATTTATGAAGGCATGATTGCAACTTCACCATCACTTGGAACTCTTGGTTTAAATAAAGGCAACAGTAGAATACCGCTATTCAATAGTAATAATTCGATCAAGCAAAAACAAATGCGGGCAACAAAATAGAACCGAGGGAAACACATCAACTATAATACGAAATCAACGGAACAACAAAAACACTGATTTACAACATAAACAAAAAGTAAAATCACAAAAATACTGAACTCCGAGGAACATTTAAAAAGGAAAGTCCCTAATCAAATGGCAAAATCAAAAGCTCAAACACATCAAACGAATGGACAACAACTGTCATATTCCTGACTTGGTACAGGCATTTATAGTAGCGCCAGTATACATACAAACGGACTGTAAATAACAACTGATATACAGGTAGCTTCCTTGTCAGCAGCAACCATCTTTTAAAGAAATCATGATAGGAAATACAATCCTTAGAATATCTTATCAACTGGAAGATACACACTCCGTATGCAGGCGCTGCTGGAATGTTGCTACATAGAAATGGAAAATTATCAATTGGGACGCTGGAATCATCTCTGTTGTCGAAAAAATATTGTTTTCAAACGGCCCTTATTGTCAATTTCTAGATGTAAGTCAAGAAATGAGGCAGACTTAACTGTATCTGGTGTATCCTTTATCTTAAGTTTTAAAAATATGGCTTTGAGCGTTCCTGATAAATTTATATAACGTGTTATTTTCATTTGTCGATGGGATAGATGCGTTCAACATAGTCACCAAATTTTGAATTATTTAGTGAGAGAACATCATCGATATAGCAAAACGTAGAGTTAAAGGATACTGCTAACTGCTTTTTTTTCTTCTAAGAAGTTCCTGTATGAAGTCAGTCTCACATGAATAAAGGCACAAGTCGGCAAGAGGAGGAGCACAGTTGTTATCGTGGAAAAACCAATTGTTTGTTAAAAAAATACGTCCTTCAAACGTAACAAATATGTTGTCAATCAAGAAATCAAGCATTTTGATAATGTCAGTTTCAGAGACAAGATACTTGTATCTACGTTACGTTGGCCATTCGTTTTTATAAAACAAAATAGGACCAACTCTTTCAATTTGTCTTTAAGTTTGAAATGGGGAATACTTGTGTAAAGTGTAGAAAAGTCAAATGTTTTAATACTATAGCAAGATGAAAAAGTCTTATATTGTATGCACTCTAAAAGATCTTTGGAATTTGTTAGAATTCACATCCGATTCACGCCACCTCTAGAATAGTTAGTTTCACAATAGCTTTGAAGTCCGGCTTTTATTGCTGATAGCGTTGATGTTAATAATTACGAAAGAGGTTTTGTGGAGCATTATGGAGAACCAGCAGTATAAGGCTGTTTGCCAGGACACTACTGTAGTTTAGGTATCCAATACAGTTATGGAAGATCAAGTTCTACGACTTTGTTTGAAATCCCAAAGGAACATATAACAGACTTATAATTATAAAGGATTTCCTCCTTGGTATGTGAAATTTCTTAGTGATTTGTCGATACTCAATTCATCTATCTAAATAAATGTACTGTGCTTTAAACACAGAAACGATGACGTTTAAGGCTTTATCTGCAGGGACTGGTCAAGATAGCATGATTTGGTACAAGGGAACATCTAGAGCGGATTCATTAAAACCATTTTTTACGCACGCACAAAACACTCCACTTGCCTTTGTAAACCATTAGCCGTACAATTCCTAGTCAAGTTGTAAAAGAAAAACAACAAGCATCTAATTTTTTGTGCATAGTTAAAATGTGCTCGCTACTTCCGAAAGCTTGAAAGACATCCATACACGGCTACTGGTGGGATACTGCAACTAATAAAACAAAAGTTAACATATTACATTATGCAACAGGGAATTGTTATTACAATATGCCATGCGTGAATCAATATTTGATTCTTACTTACTTCACCCTAGACGATAGTCATGTTGGATAACATTTAATTTTTGATATATCATTGTACAACATTCCGATACATAACTATTCAATCAAAATGATCCCAGAAATGTTTTAATCCCTTATTCATTAATTGGTTACTCGAGTAACTAGGATTAGATTACCTAACCTGTAAACGTTTTATGGCATTTCTTCAACTTCGCACTTTATTTGTCCGTTTTAACTTTTATGATTCGACCGTCACTGATGACTCATCTGTAGACGAAACACGCGTAATTGACTTTGGTTTTATTAACTTGTCGATGTTATTGCATATACTCGTATACTTGTATATAATAGATGAGACATTCATTGTTTAAATGTGACCATTAAAAACGAGACAGTTTGTAAGCAATTCATTTCTGACAATTATACTGTTAAAATGTTTAAATGTGTTTGTTAAACAGTAAGTTAGAATGTTTCTGACAATCATAAAGAAGAAACCTTTTTCCCTTTTTACGATACGTAATTACGAGCATTCATTAGATAATTGTGTAGAAACATTGAAACCCAATTATTTGGAAGATAGCCGAAAGGCCCTAAAGGTACTTAATTGTCTGATAACTCTGACACGAATAATATATGAATTTAAAATAAGACCAATATTTGATTTGCTTATTGTTATCCTCTTACCTTTTACTATTTTTAGACGGAATATATCTCCATTGACATATGCAAAAGTTCCTTACCATACCATTGGTCATTTTTTTTAATTTCCTGTCAATCTGTCAATATGCATGTTATAAAAGTGAAATGACATTAAACGCTTAATTGCCTTTGTTCTTGGGAAGGTCAAGGATGGACAGGAAAATGCCTTTTATAAATACTGTTCATTAAACTTCCTGGTTGTATGATTTTCTGATAAACCGGACGAAATAGTATGATCTCTGAATGTGTACTAAACACATGTTTCGATTATGTTTGATGTTTTCTATTGCGTTATTCTTAACACCATTGTGTATAGACTTGCAAATGCGGGTAAGTTTACAGAATTTCATTGTTTACACATACTGTAGGTTAAATCACAAAATAGTTTTAAAAATGAGGTGATTCATGTGACAGGTAAACATAAATATGATATCAAGAAGGTTTTATATCATTTATATATGTCATCATATGGGCAATCGAACGTAAAGCTTTAGTTATTATCTTAAATAGGTTATATTTACAAAGTAGATAGAATCATAAAATAGATAGTTTATTTTAATGGAATGTCACATTATATAAATGATAATGTTTAGTGCATATCAAATGAAACTTTTGTATTCAAGGCTTTTACGATCATACTGATACGATATCAAAAGAGATATAGCAGCTATCTCGACTTTTCATTGCCGGTGTTGGTTTTATCTATATGACATAAGCAATGTGTAATATGACTGATATTTTCTTAATATTGGGACAAAAATGACATACCAAATAACTTAAAACAATAACTGTGGTCTCTGGACATTTCTGAAGAATCTATCTAAATATCAAAGCCATTGTAATCTTTGTTTTGAATATCACAGATGAAGACTTTATTTAAAATACACGCACTCGACATTTTCCTTATACACATTTTATCAACTTCATATTTACATTGAACTGATGAATCATTCAGCAAACAATATAGTATATTGTACGAAAGAGTACAAAAAGAAATGTGTTGTTTTAAATTTGAGTTGTTTCCTTTATATGACCATTTATTTATTTGATTTATAATGAAACTTTCATTTAAGTGCATACTTTTATCGTCTTACCTTTAATAAGTTTTAGAATGAAAATATAACCTTTGAAATATACATGGCTTTTTTACTATATGGCTTCTTATCTCTTTATCTGCCAATAGTCATGTTATTACAGTAAAATGACACGATAAACACTTAACTGTCTTTGTTCGTGAGAAAGTAAAGGATGAACCGGAAACAAACTCTTGTTACTACACTCTACAATCAACTTCCCGTATACTGTAGGAATACGTGAGAAACCGGAAGAAATTTGTTGATCACAACATGCGGATTGCACACATGCCCGATAATGATTTGTGTTTTCACTACCGTGATTCTAAGTATCATTGTGTATAGATATGCAAATGGGGGTAAGTTTACACTTCACATATTTTATATTAATCTGAAATGTTGTTTTTTTATCAAATGAGATGTTCATGTAACAGGTAAACAAAAATTCGATTTTTAATGCATTTAACATTATAGACAATTAAAAGTTAAGCATCAGTTTTTGTCTTAAAATGGTTAAATATAAGTAGTAGATGGAATCATAAAATATATATTGCTATATTAAAAAAACTTGCATATGCATATGTAATTGTTCAAGTGCAGATCACGTTAAATTTGACTTCACACATTTGTAAACAACAACGTTTTTTTACATCCGTATATATAGAAACTGCATTGCCTGTATCAAGTCAGGAATATGACAGTTGTTTTTCATTCGTTTGATGTGTTTGAGCCTTTGATTTTGATATTTAATAAGGGACATTCCGATTTGAATATATCTTGGATTTCTGTATTTTTGTTATTCAACTTTTGACTGGAGATGGAGAGTTTGGATGATTTCTATATGTGAAACATCCATTGTTAAATATGAATGATTTTGTAGATTTACTTTGCATTGATACATTTGTAATGATACAAAAAATGGACTACCAAATAACTTAGATTGATAACCGTTTCGGAATAGTGAAAACTTAAGTAATAAAATTCATTGGACAATTATTGAAGAGTAAGTTGATCACATATGAACTACTGAATTTGAAACAAAAGATTCCATAGATACAGTTTCGTGTTTCGTCAGGAACATTATCTTACCTTACTTTCAAAATTGACAGTAAGTCTTGGAGGAGAAAAAAACTTTCCAACAAAACGGCCGCCCAAAATTTCCCTACTATGAACTTTCAATTTTAGTACATTAATATTCCTGAAGCAACGTTATTTGAAGTATATCTCCATATCGAGTCTTGTGTTTTTATTTAAAACGCTGTTCATGGGCAAAATATTCAACCAAGAGTGTTGACGAAAATGTTGAGGTTCCTTTTAACAGCATTTCACGAACTCTAGACTGAGTTTGACTGTTATTGTTTTTCATATCAATGTCACATATGATCACGGACTTTTTTCGTTTGTTAAAGCCACAAGCATGCCGTTCCTTAATTATTGATATTAACGAATGTGACTTATAAATATATCTTAAAGGGGCTTTAGCTGCGAGATATAGAATTAATGAAATTTAATTTTTTTTTTTTCATTCAATGATGAAAGTGAAAAAGTGATATAATAATTCGCTTTTAGCAGCCAGTTTGGTTCAGTTTTGTCAAAATTAGAAAAGAAACATCGCTAATGAATTATTCGACCTCATTAAATCCGTATTCATGTGAACTTCAATTGAACCCCTTAGCTAGTGATGGGTTAAGCATGAACTAAGCGTGTTCAGCTATTTCAAAGAAAAGAATGTCAACATTGGAAGTGAAGCAAGGGCATACCATTTTGTTGACTGATTCGATCTACAAAAAAACCTTCTTATTCAGGTAAAAACGATTATAAACATAGGTTATAAATCTTTAATATGAAATCAAACAGACCTTGAAAAATCCAATTGCACGAGTTCGCTATGTATATATATATATCTTTGTGTATGTTTATATCGGGTTATATGACCGCCTTCAATCTTCGAAGGTCACCTCGATGGTTAATTAGATTGCGTCTAGGCTAAAATACACACGAAATGTTGATATATTATCGAGTCCGTGCATCGTAAATTGATTATTTTAGACTTCTTATAATTTGGATATACGATTTAGAATGTTATAAATCAAGTACAAGGATTTGAGTTAAATAGGTGAACATGAAATTGACAGCTAATGCCTCTTTAACTTGTAATGATCAACGCTACGTTTCATTGATTAAATATCAGCTGATTACCATTCTAGAGCACTTCAGTCAGAAAAAGTGGTGATACCAGAGAGTTGCTGTATTGAATGAAGTATTGTATATGACTGTTAGTTATTCAAATAGTCAATACATATAAATATCTGAGCAAACATTAGTGCCAATTTGTTAAAAAAAATCATCATATGATTATTGCATTGACCATTTCTTCAGAAACAAAAGAGCCATTATTATTACAAAGCATTTAAAAATACACCTTCATTAAATTTCTAGATGGTACCGAACTTTAAGTCTTAGATGCATGATTTTTTCTATTAGTTGTTATTGGCTTTGAACTGACTGTCAGTAACTGCGAGTACTCTCAGATCTGTACTTAGTGTCTTGTTGTTGTTGGGATGTACCAGTACCCGTTCACGTCAAGATGTTTTTCTATTTGTATCCATCTGATGAGTTAATCCTTTTTCATCTGATCTTTATAGTTCGTTCTTATGTTGTACTGTTACACCACTGTCCCAGGTTATGGGGAGAGTTGGGATCCCGCTAACATGTTTAACCCCGCCACATTCTGTATGTATGTGCCTGTCCCAAGTCAGGAGCTTGTAATTCAGTTGTTGTCGTTTGTTGATGTGTTACTTGTTTGTTTTTCGTTCATTTTTTTGTACATTAATTAGGCCGTTAGTTTTCTTGTTTGAATTGTTTTTCATTTGTGATTTCGGGGCCTTTTATAGCTGACTATGCGGTATGGGCTTTGCTCATTGTTGAAGGCCGTGCGGTGACGGTGACCTATAGCAGTTAATTTCTGTGTCATTTGGTCACTTGTGGAGAGTTGTCTCATTGGCAATCATACCACATCTTTTTTTTATATTTGTTGGATTTTTTTGCCTTTTTCAAATTCTCTTCAACTTTGTATTTGATTTCGCCTTCCTTCTGGTCAGATTCAAACGCTAAGGATATCTCTTGTGTCAAGAAAAATGCGCGTCTGACGTATTCAATTAAAAATATTGTATCTTTAATGACTTTATGTTATGACGTCAGTCAGTAGACATTTGTTTATAAAATTAATGTATGTCAAACATGTGAAGCAGGTATTGCTTTTTCGAAGGGGAACATAACTCATATATATCAAAGAAACCAAATAAGTAAGAATATGTTGACATTGGAATGGGTATCAACAAGATGGGATCTAACCATTAAAATATATTTGATTTTGAAGGGATATAGTTAATGTGTTGGAGTTTATAAAATCATGAGGAAAGAAATGCAAACAGCTGTTAAAAATGTCATTTGGAATCGTTGGTTTTTAATTGTAAATGGTCAGATGTAACATGTTTATAGATGTTATAAAGTTGAATTTTCAAGACACATTTAAAATTCCATACATGGTTTATTTACAGATCAACTTAATCTTGTAGCGAATGATCGCCAATTGCAATGGACAGAAGCTTTTGGTTCCTGTGATGATCCAACGTACTGGCATCAGATATTCAATGACTGTCAGCCTGAATCATGCAATGTTTCTAGTGTCGCAGATACAATCATAAATAAGCCAAGGTTCGGGAGCCAGCAGTATTGGATCTATGGATACGTACTTCGATCACCTGTTATCGTAAATATAGGTAATAATTATAATTTGTTTGTTGAAAAATAAGATTTTAAGATTTAAAGAAGGGTAACTTGTCAAAGGAAATTAAGCCATTTGTTTCTCTAATAATTTTTAGTTGATTCTCAAATTATGAATTTCTCACCATTTATAGATCATATCGTGCACTTCCTTGGATTGAAATATTAAGACTCAGTATTTTATGCATGAATCAGGCAGTATACTTCTTATCAAAACATCAAATGATATTCATAAGATAGAAAAAATATATATCCAATTATAGGCTTAATGTTGGTGCGAAAAGTAAACCATCTAATAAACATCTTTTTTCCTGGTACTTTCAGCAGTTATTTAAAACACATTGCCTTTATTGTTAATTTTGATTCTTTGGTTCAACCTTTACAAAGGGCCAGTGTGCTTTTGTCTTCTTTAGACCCTTTCAAATATATTCTCCAATGTAACAAGTAGCTATTGAAAACTACAATTGATTAAAACATTGTTATGATGTGTAGCTCCGAATTTGATCCTTTAATAAATTACTGCAACTCATATAACATTCAAAATGAACACGGTATAAAATAGGAAAGTTGGTTATTCTGTGGATTGCTTTTTTTACAAAATATTTCTCATTCTAACTTCATAGTTTTATTAAAAAAAACCTTATTTGTTCGATATCAAATTGATAATGGTTAGCAATAATTGTATAATAATTTGCCACATATCGCAAAAAGCTTCGTTTTGGTTGAATTCCTTTTCTACCTGAAAATGTATATAAAACAAATCTAACATGGAAAGGAACAGTTCTATATCACACGTATAAAAGAGTGCATTTCAATTTATAGTAATTGAAAAGTAAATTAAATAAAAAGTTCATCACCCATTTTAAGAGGGGCTCGTGTTGCTAAGTCTTTAGCTTATTATGTGATGGTTTGTTATTATTATTTGTTCCTAAGTCGTTTTTATTTTGGCTATGATATTGTCTGATGATTTTGACTTTTAAATTTTTGAATGCCCTTTTTATATAATTTGACCGTATCTGTTTTAAATATAATAAAATTACAAGTTAGTAATGTGAATTACTAAATTAATCTTCAATGGAATAAATTACAGCCAAACACTGTATCCAATATTTTAAATACCCAAAGTCTGATCATAGTTGAGTCAAATCATTAGCTTGCTCTCCTTTAAAAAAGCAAAATGAGGATGTTAAATTTGATGTATGCCTTTTTGTGCTTCTTTGTTACATTTGTTTGTTTTTATAGTGATTAAGATGATAACACAATGTTGACTGCTGTACCCCTATTTTTGACATTTTTACCTATTGTGTCTGTTTGTTTTGTTCACGCATCGTTGTCAATATAATGGAATTCGATGCGACTGTCATACAAGTGAGAGGTTTAGCTAGCTATAAAACCAGATTCAATCCACCATTTTCTACATAAAAAAATGCCTGTACCAAGTCAGGAATATGACAGTTGTTATCCATTCGTTTAATGTGTTTTAGCTTTTGATTTTGCCACTTGATTAGGGACTTTCCTTTTTGAATTTTGTTCGGAGTTCAGTAATGTTGTGATTGTACTTTTTAAAACTTGTAACTCTCATTTGATGTAGAAAATACAATGTCTCATTATGGTCATTGTAAATAACAACATGATTGTTGCGTAGCGGTTATGATAATTATATTCTAATTTGCAAAGCTCAAACAAAGACAATTCAAATCATTTAATAAATAAAACAACACGAATAGGATAAATGTGGTTACAGGTATAACAGTCTTTAATTTATTTATTTCAATAAATATTATCACACTAATGTAACTTCACAGAACACAGCCATACACTACAAATCCAGGCTTATAAAGCATCAACACAATCAAAATCTATCTACAAATGAGGAAAATACATATTACTTAAAGTTAATATAATTATATACCCACATACAAATAATCAAATTAAAAAGTGTGGGTGGGTACTCATAGTTATGAACTGCTACTTCATAGACTGGTTTGGCTGCTTCGAATTACCACAAAAGGTTCAACGACCCCTTTTATAATACTCAGTCTGCTTATCGCAAATTTTATGAGCTGCATATACCGATGTACAGCCGCATTGTGAGTACATGCCATCCAATCAGAATTAGCATAAACACATAAAAATGTACTTACTATAAACACAAACACGTGTTTATAGTTAACAATCATTTGACCGTTTCGTCAAGTGACCAATAAATTTAATTAATACAAATCATTAAAATAAAAATTGGTCAAAGGTATAGCCAGTAACATATAAAGAAGAATAAAAAAAATGAAGGACTGAAAATAACTGCTATATAACGTTTCAACCAAAAAGGTCGTTGTCCAGGAGTAGGATTGTCGAACAAGAATTAAAACCATTCAAAAGATCAAAAGATCACTAACCTACGACTAGCTATACTTGCTTCAATTGCATGAAGTGATTGCTGTTTTTATTTAGTTTGATATGTTGAATTACCGATTTGATTGAATATGTGAATATGATCAATTTAAAACATTTGTTTTATATAAATTTCATTGTTTGCCACTGGGCGAGAAAAATGAAGTAGCTAGTCTGCATGGGAGTGTTTAAATAGTTAATGCATTCCTTCTGAAAGAAGGGTTCCTTATAGTAAATTTGGAATTCTCTTATCGAAGATTTAACCAAGTTTAACTATGTTTACGGAATCCTCATAATTTGGTTATCTAAGGAAAACCGAACTATTATGTGACAAACATTTTGTGTAACTGAACTTGATATTCTGCTACATAACACATTATTTTTTTGTTGTTGTTGTCTTTGATAAAATCCAACTACATCAATCATCCAAATTATTTAATCGAATCTTTATATTTTACACAATTTAAAAAATATACTATTTGCTTTAAAAATGAAAACAACTTAAACAAATTCAGAATTATGTTTCTCGTAATGCCAGTGTATCTCATATCTAATAAACTGTCAATATAGGATGTAAGCATACGTTTTTTTTTTTTTATCTTTTACTGTGGATTCATTATTATTCGTTGTATACCAATTTTCGTGGATTTCGTTGGTCAAGGTGAACCACGAAATTAAATGTTCAACGATAACAAATTTCCAATAGGCTTGTATGCAAACTTCGGCAAAACCACGAAATTAAATATCCACGAACATGTTAGTTTTCCTTAATCCACGAAAATTGGTACCCACGAAAATAAGTGAATTTACAGTATGCTATAATGATTATTTTTGTTCTAGGATGTTATAGTTTGAATGCTAGTGTAAAGAATGATTTTAATCGTGGTGTCTTCTCATTTGAGTACAATTCGGCTTTTGAATGTTTAATGGCTTGTCCGGATAAAAGTGTAGACTTCATCTTTCTAAGGGTAAGACAAGTAATCAAAATAAGTCTGAAGCCTAAGAAATTTAATCATGCTATGGTTTTATACCATTGTAACAATATTTACACCCCAGTTCTATTGTTATACCTTATAGTTTCTATTTCTGAAACAAGTATAAATTGAATAGATCTTTGTAACGAAGAACAATGGATTTTGACCACAGGGTGTGACGAGCGGGGTTTCTGGAAACCCCTGCTTCTACATCCCGAAAACACAGTCCATTGTTATTCATAACCATAGAAATTGATTACTTTTTTAAATAGCATGAACAAAAGAAATTACTAATAGTGAGAACTAGTTGTTTTAAGATATTAAAAAAAACCCATTTTAGGAAATTCATTTTTTTTTTTAAATTGTTTCGATATTTGAAATTCAAATAGCGAAAAAAGTATTAAGCATCTATTTTGAATTAAAAAAAAATCCTTTAAATACTCCTTTGCTTGAAAATAAAACTTTTGATCCCCAGGGGTGGATTCAGTCACTTTTAAAAAGAGGGGGGGTTCCCAACCCAGGTTAAAAAGGGGGGTTCCAACCATGTTTCCCCATTCAAATGCATTGATCGTCACAAAAAGGGGAGGTTCCAAACCCGGGAACCCCCCCCCCCTAGATCCGCCACTGATCCCTGTCATATATCTCTATTATTAAGCATTGGTCTTTAAATAAACAGAGATTCTAACTCCCGGACCTCCATCCCTGGATTGCCCCACAAAAAGGGAGTTCCTAAATATTCAATCTGTATTTTTGTAGATTTCTAATCCAGACACACATATCCTTAGTATGTCCGAATATGAATGTTTGTTTATACTTGAAAATAGAGGGGGGTTTAAAACCGTAATATATAAAATACATTTATGATTACCTTCATTAACCTGATACAGGTAAGTACTTTGAGTTATAATATTGCCTTTATCTTTAGTCTCTTCTACCATGTTTACTAAATCCAACGCTTGACTCAAAATGTCGTCCGTCTTATACCCGTCCATATTGACAACTGCTTACAAGGACCCTGATGTATTTTTTTTTTTGTAATAAGAATGCACGAAACGGTCAACCTTGGCCTGCTGATCCATATTAGCACAAGGATTTAACGGGAATATGCAAAACAGCAACTTTGACATTTGTAAAACCTACTCACTTGTCAAAGTTTGAACGAAGATAGCCAAAGTAAGGTTACTAGTAGGGTTTCATGTAAAATAAAATTCTTACTTATAAATCATGGTTTGATATTGTAAATAAATAAGATATCCATTCTTTTTCATTTAGTAATCAATGTTAAGAAATATAGGGTTTAGCATGGGGTGTAAGTTAGTTATACACCTCAGGATACGGCGAATCTGGATAAGAAAACCTTTCTTATCCAGACACACCTATCCCTCGGTGTATAACTATTACGGAACTTCCCTTTTTTCCTACAACAATATAAATGTGTATTGCTGCATGTACATGTTGAATTTATATGTTGTATACATGTCCCCAGTTCTTATAGTTATCAAAGGTACCAGGATTATAATTTAATACGCCAGACGCGCGTTTCGTCTACATAAGACTCATCAGTGACGCTCAGATCAAATTAGTTATAAAGCCAAACAAGTACAAAGTTGAAGAGCATTGAGGACCCAAAATTCCAAAAAGTTGTGCCAAATACGGCTTAGGTAATCTATTCCTGGGATAAGAAAATCCTTAGTTTTCCGAAAAATTCAAAGTTTTGTAACAGGAAATTTATAAAAATGACCAAATAATTGATATTCATGTCAACACCGAAGTGCTGACTACTGGGCGGGTGATACCCTCGGAGACGAAACTTCCACCAGCAGCGGCATCGACCCAGTGGTGTAAATAGTTAACAAAGGTACCAGGATTATAATTTAATACCAACATTAACTTTTTTTTCATAAAAAAAAAAACAATAATGTTTTTCTTTGCGGTTTCCGGGGCTTTTGTTTTTGGTTTTTGTTTGTGGGGAGAAGGTTTTGGGGAAGGTTTTTATATTTGAATTATATCTAAGTACTATATTTTATGTGTATACATATCTGTTTAGGGGAGAGAGTGTCTGTGTATTCCAGAGAAAAAATTTAATAAACAGCTGTATAAACTACTATTACAAGAAAATACTGGTACTTGCAACCAATCTTGTGCTGGAAATAGTGAAGACTTGTGCGGTGGTGCGTCAGTTGTCAATGGAAACGATTTATACAGTGTATTTAAAGTAATAACAAGTATGGTTCAGGTTATTACTATAACATCTACATTGTTTTGTCCCTAATTGTTACTATTATTATGTTTATAGTTATCATTATTATGGGGATTTTATAATCACACAATGAACTGTAAATTTTGCAAATGATTCGTAAAGTTAACGTTTATTGATATAAATAAATAAAAAGATAAAGCGAAACAAATGTAAAAATAAAACGATTTTAACGTGTCTTATTTTTTTCATTAATAATAATCTTTCTGCAATGAAGCTATGAAAACGATTATGTGTGATGCATATATCTCAAAATAAGCACTGAGTAATGTCAACGCATTTCTTTTGGGCTTCATTCATGTTTATTTTTCACAAAACATTTTTTGTTAAATTTATCATAGTTAATCGTGTTAAAACATTTTTTAGGAAGGATTTCCGCCACCAAAGTTGGAAACACATGTGCACAGTTAGAGTTCGACGACAAAATGCAACACCGTTTCTCTTACACAACTTGCAGTTCTAAGCGGATGTATATTTGCGAAAGATATAATATGTCTGGTATGTTTTCAAATTTTACATGTAATTGTTATCAACCAACTTTTATTTTTAATTGGAACATATCCGTCGTCATTTCACAATCCTGAGTTTGAAAGACTTAAAAAATTACTACTGCGAATTGCTACGTTACAAAAAATATAACAGACCACTCTCGAGTAATGTCCTTCACCGGAAAAGTTGGTCAATTATGTGCGCACTTTATGACTCATTTGCCAGATAGCGGGGCCCGTTTGTATCCTTGCACTATTAAAGTTCATCGATCGTCTTCGTGATCGTCATTATGCAGGATAAACTAGAAATAATGTTTGTTCCGTAGGTACTTAATCACAATCTTAATGACAGCAGTGCTGATAATCAATTATAAGAATTTGATTTGTCGAATAATTCGTGCAATATAGCATCATATTTTTCAACCGCTCGCTCAACATTGGAAGGAAGTGACGATGCCCCTAACCGCACGAATGATGTTCATGAAACCAAAGTTTTTGACGGAAATGCAACGAACTCGAAAGTGGTCTATTGATAAATTAGTGTAATGCTTAGTTTTGTGAATTTGAAATATAATCTGTAATCAGGAATTAAGTAAACAAATTAAAAGGAGGTGCCGTTCACATAGACAAAGAAGAGAGGCGGAAGATACCAAAGTGATTTCAACCTAATTTGTAAATAACAGACCGACAACACAATGGCAAAAAACGAAAAACAACAAAAAGAAACAATACAAACCACAACACAGAAATCGAAAGACTGAACAACAGGAACCTACCAATGAAATCAGATCTCAAGTGCTCCGGCGGGAGTAAGCAGATGCTGCTCCACAAGTGCCTCCCGTCGTAATCCATGTAAGAACAAAGGGACATTTTACTCACATGAATATCCCATGACTTGAGATTCACTTTAATCTCACGTGAATTTCATCTCAAATCACGTGAGCATAATTTGTCTGTGTACAAACTCGTCGAAAATAAGTATAATTTGATGATGTCACACTCGAGGAAACAATGATGTGATTCTGGTTACGTCAATTGGAACATATCCGTCGTCACCTGTTATACCGATATTCCATAACCGCCAAGAAACTCGTGATGAAGTCAGTAAACTTTTCGAAGGAATTACTTCAGTTTCGCCACTGGGAACCCTTGGTTTAACAGTTTCCTAGAAATGAGCTAGTGTGTTCTCACACATGTCAAATGAGCTAATAATTTAAGAATCAAACACACATTTTAAATCCACCAAAACTATAGCAACTTTCAAAAGTGGATTTACTTTCATTTCAAGGCTACATGACACACAGACGCAATACAACAACTTTTGATTTCTATTATCTCAATTTGTAAAACAAATCTAGAGTCTGAATTTATCGGTGAAAAAATAATTTTTATTCATAAAAAATGCAGCATTAACAGGTTTACTTAAACTTGTAAAACAAACCTTCGATACGGAACGGAAATGATACAAAAGAAAAACAAATGAAATGTCGAGAAATTAACTTGTCAAACAATTAAGGATTTTTGTTCTACTTTTTTCAATAATAATTGTTTCAACAAAGAAAACTAATTCACTCCTTCATGTTTAACAACAAAATTCGCAAGTGTACTCAAGGGCAAATTTTCGAGAATACGTGTTTATTTACTTTTCATATATTTATTAACTTGAGGTTTGTTTAAGACACGATGTTGTTTCGATATCCACGACATCGACGAAACCGTATCGATATTAATTTGAACCTTTTACTATATGCGTCGCAGCAAACAAAACATCAGCTGTCGATATCGATTCGATGTTGTCAGTTAAATTTTATACCTGGCACGTCTCTTCTTGTTAAACAACTGTTTAAGTTGTCGATATCGACAATTTATTTTCAAATGTTTGTCAGATACAATATCTATGAAGACGATTTAGTTTTTCTTGTTTATCTGATAAGCTGAATCTCGACAGTATCAATTTCTTATCAACATTAAAGAAATTTCTTCATGACGTTATCTGTTATTTCATATCGATATCGATTCGATGTTGTCAGTTAAATTATATACCTGGCACGTCTCTTTTTGTTAAACAACTGTTTAAGTTGTCGATATCGACAATTTATTTTCAAATGTTTGTCAGATACAATATCTATGAAGACGATTTAGTTTTTCTTGTTTATCTGATAAGCTGAATCTCGACAATATCAATTTCTTATCAACATTTAAGAAATTTCTTCATGACGTTATCTGTTAATTTCATATACTTTAGTTTATGTTCTTCATTAACTTTTGCTTCTACAATTTCAAACTAGACGTTTACAATTTTCCTCAACTGATTTTTTGTTTCAATGAGTTTACACTATATTCATCTATCGACGACATCGATTCGATATCGATAAATTATGGCCCAATTGTCTATCGGCTACAGTTATCTATATAGATAATTTAGTTTCTCCTGGTACGTTTGTTAAATATGTCGATATCGACAAATTATGTTACAAATGTCTATCTGCTGAAGTTATATATATATATATATATATATATATATATAGACAATTTTGTTTCTCCTGGGTCGTCTGTTTAAAATGTCGATATCGACAAATTATGATCCAAATATACATCTGCTACAGTTATCTATATAAGCAAAAAGTAAAATAACAAAAATTCCGAAATCCAAGGAAAATTCAAATCGGAAAGTCCCTTATCAAATGGCAAAATCAAAAGCTCAAACACATCAAACGAATGGAAAACAACTGCAATATTCCTGACTTTTGAGTTTTCTGGGTTCTTCTGTTTAAGATGTCGACGAGAGCTCCAAAGTAGGGTGAGTCACATTGGGGATGTGCAAGGTTAAATATTCTCACCACTCCCCTTAAATCTAAATTGGTGGTGTAGCATCAAAACATATAAGCAAAATGTGAAAATCAGTTTGAAAACGCTTGACTTATCAGGTAGGAAAGAAGAACAACAACAACAAGAAAAATTATAAAAAGCACCTATCTTAGAGTACTCGAAACTATTCAAATCAAGTTAAAATCTAATTTTAATCAATAAGTAAACCATCTTTTCCCTGTTTATAATATGAAACAGTCAATATTTTAACGGTCTTTGTATGTAACCATATTTCAACTAGTTTTCACCTGAATAACCATGTCAACGTTATACAACCAAATGAAACTTGTTTTTTTTTAAAGAATTATTATTATACAGTAATTTCTTTTTTTAAGGATCAGAAATTTGGAGAGGTGACCACTTGATTGTCTTGTTTTAATACAATGAAGAAAGAAATTCATTACAATTCAGCCATCATCTCACTCTATATCAATCTTTATATTCGGTCCTAATTTGATCAGCTAGATATGTCTTATTTTTATTTTATTATCTTAAGTCATCATCGAGTTGATATTGAGTCGACATGGTCGATTACGATAATATCGACATCGACATTATCGATTTTGATGATATCGACATCAGATGTTGTCATTGGTGTCGGTATCGAAATCTTCAACTGGTTATGTCATGAATGAATAAGTTTATCGATATAATTTCGATATCGGGTTGACATTTGAGTTAGTCTTGGACATGTATAATTAATTTCGGACGAAAAGCGATATATACTATTATTTAAATTTATCGTAACAGATGAAAATGAAAAACTGTAAATGCTGGAGACGTCCACCAAAAATCAAAACTATATATAAAATTTCCAAGTTTTATGTTAACTAATTAAAATCGATGTACTTGTCATAGCCTAAAGTACATCGCTCCTTTTGGGATTCATGTGATTTCTTCAGTTTTTGTTTGTTACCATGATTGTCTCTTCTTAATCGAGTTACGAGATTTGAAAATCTGTAAAGTACTGTCGCCTTAATCTATGTAAAACGACTTTTCATCATTTTGCACGTTAAATAATATAATTTGAAAATAGGTCCGTAAAAACCATTATATGCTAATAGTATAAACTTATTTTACTTCGTATTTTCATTTAAAAAAGATGGGAACGTTATACATTGCATATTTTGAATTATTTTAGATCAATCCTATAAGGATAAGTGTCCTAATGAAACTGCATCATGGTACGCCGCACAACAAAATTGTCAAGAAATGGGTTTGCAGCTTCGGACATACACTACAACTAGTTTTTCGTCTCTGTGTAGCCAAAGCGAACAGATGTTTTGGATTGGAAATCATGTCGCTGAAAAAATTGTATGGGCAAATGGTATATGCATTTTAACCTTTTATATAAAATCATAAATATGACAAACACATATGATTTATTCTATAATAATACTTTATATGCCACTGGATGTGCTATGGAGCGGACGTTAATAACGGATGTCCAAATGATTTTTTATCTTAATTAAGTGTAATAAAATGTTCTATGCATTTTACATGTATTTCGAACACCGGTACACTACTGTTGCCTTTATTTGCCATACGCCAATTTTTTTTTTCCTTTTTATTTCTTTGTTTAGTAAATTACATAGTCTTCTAAACGAGATCTAAATGTCTATATATATTTTCATGTTCAAGATTCTTGTACATTTTGTTGCCTTGTAAAGATTACTACATATTTTAGATACTCCACGTTTTTCACTCTTTCCTGTGTTTTATTAGTGCCTTTGTATTTACTGTTGAAGAGTTGTTGTTACAATGAATTCAATGGTTTCTCTTCTCTTTTATTGATTTTCTTTTAACAGATCTTCATCTTTAAAAAAAAGCCTTTTAGGCATAAAAGGAACCAGATATTTTCTTTCTAAGTGCTGATACGTCCCAAGATATTGCTAGTATTATATTTGGCGATTTTATTAATAAATGTGTTGCGAGTATGTTCGTAAATTATATGTTTACGTGGGCAGTGTTTGCAATTTGAAAAATTCGAGTATTTCTTCCATTTCTCCTTGTGATGGAGAAAACGGTGGTCTCTTTATCTTGAGAAAAACCAAAAAGTAACTTTATGTTTTAATGTATTTAATATATGTTTCAATATTTCACGCATCCGTACATCTGTGAGTTCAACTGAAATCACTAAATGTCTATTTTCTCCAGTGGCGTAGCTAGACAAATGCTGAAGGTGAAGCCCAAATTGGCAGGGGGTCTTGGGGCCGCTTGAGGCCCCCAGTGGGTCCATGGCAAAGCCCTGGTAGGGGGCCAGGGGGCAAAGCCCCCGGAAGTTCCTGGGTTTTAGGGTTTTAGACCCACAAATATTAACTGAAAATATTGAATGTTAAGGTGTAGTCAAAAGCATTTTTGTTTGATACAAGTCAGATAATTTTGTGAAAAAATATATATTGTTCCTCAAAGAAACTGTAAAAACCAGAAGATTCCAGACGGATATAAAAGTTATATTTACTAAGACCAGTGTCTCGCCTACTTTAAGAATCTAATAAATGTCTTAAGAACTTTAACTGCAGACTGTATGTAATGTTATTTGGAAGAAAAACTAAGTCCATATATAAGTAATATACGGAAAAAAAGGAAATAATTTTTTTTTTAAATTTCCTTCTAGATACTAGCTTTTGATCATAATCAAGCTTCTGTCCAAGTTTGGTAGAAATTTAGGATAGTTTAAGAAAGTTATTGAAATTTTAAAAACTTTAACCGCAGAGTGAATGTAATGTTAACTGGCAGAAAAACTAAGTCCATTTAAAAGTAAAATACGAAAAATAAGGATTTTTTTTTTTGGAGAATGTACCTCTGAATACTATCTATGATCATAAACAAGCTTCTGTCCAAGTTTGGTAGAAATCCAGGGTTGTTTAAGAAAGTTAATAAAATTTCAAAAACTTTAACTACACAGTAAATATTTCTGGACGCAGCCGCCGCCGAAGACGACGGAATGTAAAGATCGCCATGTCTCGCGTTTGTGACAAAAGTCGCAGGCTCGACAAAAACCACACCATTAAAAATTGTTTGGAGATAAGATGTAAACAATATATTCAGGTTAGGGCAGGATGGCGCCTTCAAATTAGTTTAGCCCGCCACATTCGGTATGTGCCTGTCCCAAGTCAGGAGCATTTAATTCTGTGTAATGGTTGTCGTTTGTTGCTGTATCATATTTTGTTTTTCTTTCATTATTTTGTACATATATCATTTTCTCGTTTGAATTGTTTGTGTGGATATAAATTATTAAAAGAGTCAGAGTCAATCTCTCTCACCAACAAAAAAGCAAGCCTACTTTCAATTACTTTATCAATGGACGTCTGCTTGTACGCGTGAAGGATACATCTATAGCCTCGAAAGTCGTTCGGTTGTCATCGTATAACGCAGATATGTTTTAACCCGTCACATTACACTGAAACTGCGTTGATTCAGCGGTGGAATTGGTCACATGCATTGGCAATTCTGCGTTGCATTGTAAATAGCAGAACACCCTGCCGACACAAGATTCGTCTGCTATAAATAGAGGGAAAATAAAGCACTGGTGATGGGAACGAACGCCGGGAGTCCGAGAAGTGATATTGACTCCTTGACTTCTACAACTTTTTGTTTATTTAACCGCACAGTGCCCATTTATTCCCCCCTTCACTTTCTCTCACTCGGCGTCTCCTCCCTTTCTCTCATACCTCTAGCTCGTTTTTTTTTTTTTTTTTTTTATTTTTTTTTTTTTTTTTTGACGAACGATGTTTAAGCCATGGCTTCCGAGCTTCCGCCTAGCTACGCCACAGTTCTCCCTGTAACTTTTATTGTTAAATGTCAATTTATTGTTGTTTTTTTTTTCAGTTTAATTTTTAATAACTGTAAAGCAAAACTTTGTTTGAGGGATCGAAATTTGCACTCCAAAAAAACATCCCACAAGACCCATGCTTTCTTCATCTGAAGATCCGATTTATGGATCGTCTGTTGGACTTTTAATTATTGCTTCAATTGGTCCCTAAAATGTTTGGCCGTAAACGGTTACGAGAGCTAAAATTTGGAAGAAAAGATAACAGAAAATAAATGTCACTAGAATCAGAAATCCACCTAACAATTTGTTTTTCAGCTGAAAATACAATTAACTTGAAAAAACTCCCATAAAAAATAAACTTCTCAGCGTAGCATTGAAGGGTTCTAATGTTTTAGAGATGGGTTGATAGAGGCGTGTTCCTGATCGAAAGCGGTAGGATATGCCAACAACTAATCAACATAAAATTAAGTATCGTTTCAATTGGTATCTTTGTTCAGATATTTATCCTATATGCTGATACTACTGAAATTTTTCTACAAAAAAAAGGAAAATCACAATTGGAAAGCTGAAATTTTCTCCTTTGTCGAAAAGTTTAGTTCTAAGACGAACTTCATAGTCAGTTACTAGATTAAGTTAAAATAAAAGACACAATGAACAATATGTTTGGTGTCATTTATTTCTTACTCGGTGGGATGGATGCCAAACACTTTTATCTAAATTTCTTGAGTAAGAAGATGTGAAATTAAAACATTTAACAACTAAAGCAAAATATTTTGGGTTATAATTTGTATTCGACGAAAACAAAATTGGGGTTTCTAATGCATAATATTTATAACCATTTTCAGATGAACAATGTAATTGCATCGAGTAACACTGTAATGATATATTACAATATAGATGAACTTAGTTAGTTAGTTTTCTCAATTGAAATGTTTCATATTTGTCATGTCGGGGACTTTTATAGCCGACCATACGGTATGGGTTTTTATCATTGTTGAAGGCCGTGCGGTTGCTTATAATTGTTTACATCCACTTCATTTGAACTTTGGTGGAAAGTTGTCTCATTGGCAATCATACCACATCTCCTTATTTTAATATCCATGAACCATATTGTTTTATCAATGTTTCGAGCTGCATACGTTTCAGAAACGTTTAAACAGTGGATATTAAACCTATTGATTTAATTGTTTTATTTATATATTTATTCATTCTAATGTTGTTTTTGATTTTTGAATATACAGTTTTCAGACATATAGTTCACATTTCTTTGTTTAAATCATGATACTATTTAAGGACAAAATGCTTTGTTTAAGCATCACATATTAATCATTCTAAAATTAATTATGTTAATAATCATATTGATATCATTTAGATTCTTTACCGAAAGATGCGTTATGCATGAAGTTAGTAATTTCTGCAACTGGCTCCAGTTTTGAAACTGAAAACTGCCGCAATCAATTGCATTCATTGTGTTGTAAGTATTTATGCCACTTTAGTTTTCACTCATTTCATAGAACTGTATCGAGCAATTTGTTAGCTACAGCAGAGAGGGTTACCACAGGTTGCGTGGTGGGAGAAATCTTTTCATATCAAATTGTTTAATTTCAGAGTCACTATTTCAAAATTAAATACGGAAAACGATAAATTTGTTTTATGTTTTTAGATCAAATGAACTATCTTGCAATCATGAGAAATATTTTTCACATAGAAAGATTTATGGTTGATTGAAAATCACTTCCACATGAAACATTTAATCATCTATCAAATTGTTCCTTATCATAATGACGAGAATTTGTATTTGAAGTTTCAGAAAATACAATTTGTGGATATCTCAAAACTTGTCGGTGCTATATTAAAATAGAATGAGATTACATAATTGGACAAACATGTAAAGTAGCAATTAAAAACGAAAAATCAATCAATCAAGTTCAATAAATGAATACTTTTGCCGATTTAAGTATATAAGACCCCTCCCCGACACTACCCCCCTCCCTCAACCGCATTTGAACAAGAATACGAAGGATAAATCTGGCGGTCATCCTGGAGTGTCCGATTTTATTATAAGCATGTAAAACATAAGGTGTGATGTGATTTGAAATATTTGTTATATATCATACTAATATGCAAGGAATCTGTACGAATTTGACAAATATACTTATAAAATATATAGAAATGTGTTTAATTTTTTCAAAAACATTTGTTAAATAATCTACAAATATCTAAATGATTGGTAAAATTCTCCAAAATATAAAAAGTTGAAGAATGACATTTGAAAATTAAGCCTGTGTCTCGCTTACGATTGCTGATGTCAGTGTAAAAGAGTAATGTTTTACAAATGTTAACAAATACAGCAAAATAAAAATAAAAAGAGGCTTTTTTCTGTGTATGCTATTTCTTGATCTTGAAGAAGATTAATTCCATAATATTTAATTCTTGATTACTAAAAACAATCTAGTCTCTACGTATAATTAAACCTGCAAAAACTAAGTCGATCTATCAATTAAATACTCACATATAAAAAATAGATATATTTAAAAATTTTGCTTCAGATATTATCATTTAATCTGTCAGAGTGTCATGATATTCTATGAAGTTTGGCAAACTTATTAATGTCTTTTAAAAAAATGCATAGTACTATGTATGTACATGCCTTTTATCAGTAAAATACAGCGCATATAATTTAAAATGTACATTTACAAAATTTTGTGTCTTTGGTAATAAAACAGCATCTGTTCAATTGTTTCAAATTCCAGGCCATATCGTTCCAACGAACAATCGATGATATGAGACAAATCAGTATGCCGTGTACGAATTATCTTCCTTCCTCTAAAGTTTCTTAAAAGATTAGTCATTAAAGAAGCGGACTTGAAACAAGAAATTTTAAACGTTGAAGAAGGAGGAGGTATATTAAGAGCCTTTGTTTGACCTCTGATAGTCCAATAAAAGTAAACTTATTGAAGCCTTTCAAAAAGTATTTTAATTTTATTGATAAATGAATCACCTGCTTTAATCTGGGAACTTAAAGTGCAGAATGGTCACATACGATGTGACTATGACATTCATATTTGACGTATTGAACATGTTGAAACTATATTTATATATATATATATATATATATATATATATATATATATATAAACAAGTCTAAATTGAAAACAACGTTCAAACCTATGATTGCGTTGGATAAAAACCGCAATTTTTATACGTGTGCATGCAAAACAAATTTCTTGGTAGAGGGGTCTAAATACAGCACAAACAACATTTTCCAAAAGACCAAAATAAGAGAAAAAGTATATTTTAACAAAACGCATTTGACTAGCAGGTAAACAACTGATGTTCTTAAACCCTGCTGACTGCCATTGGCGATTGCCAAATAAACGGATCACAAGATGTAACAAAATAGATCTTATTATTAAATTATTACCAAACAGAAAACAATAAACTTGCGGAAAAGATGGTATACCGCAAACATGAGGTGCAAAAATTTGTACACCATATCCGGATTTCGACAATTAATGTCTCTTCAGTGATGTTAGGAATCGAAACGGTATTTGGAAGGCCATATAATTTACCTCAATTTAGGATAGACTCTTGAATTCTGAAAGAGTCAAAATAGGATGAACGGATCATATAAACCCGAAGGCAAATATAATACAAGCCCAAACGAAAAAATATAAACAAGTCTAAATTGAAAACAACGTTCAAACCTATGATTGCGTTGGATAAAAACCGCAATTTTTATACGTGTGCATGCAAAACAAATTTCTTGGTAGAGGGGTCTAAATACAGCACAAACAACATTTTCCAAAAGACCAAAATAAGTGAAAAAGTATATTTTAACAAAACGCATTTGACTAGCAGGTCGAACAACTGATGTTCTTAAACCCTGCTGACTGCCATTGGCGATTGCCAAATAAACGGATCACAAGATGTAACAAAATAGATCTTATTATTAAATTATTACCAAACAGAAAACAATAAACTTGCGGAAAAGATGGTATATCGCAAACATGAGGTGCAAAAATTTGTACACCATATCCGGATTTCGACAATTAATGTCTCTTCAGTGATGTTAGGAATCGAAACGGTATTTGGAAGGCCATATAATTTACCTCAATTTAGGATAGACTCTTGAATTCTGAAAGAGTCAAAATAGGATGAACGGATCATATAAACCCGAAGGCAAATATAATACAAGCCCAAACGAAAAAATATAAACAAGTCTTAATTGAAAACAACGTTCAAACCTATGATTGCGTTGGATAAAAACCGCAATTTTTATACGTGTGCATGCAAAACAAATTTCTTGGTAGAGGGGTCTAAATACAGCACAAACAACATTTTCCAAAAGACCAAAATAAGTGAAAAAGTATATTTTAACAAAACGCATTTGACTAGCAGGTCGAACAACTGATGTTCTTAAACCCTGCTGACTGCCATTGGCGATTGCCAAATAAACGGATCACAAGATGTAACAAAATAGATCTTATTATTAAATTATTATCAAACAGAAAACAATAAACTTGCGGAAAAGATGGTATACCGCAAACATGAGGTGCAAAAATTTGTACACCATATCCGGATTTCGACAATTAATGTCTCTTCAGTGATGTTAGGAATCGAAACGGTATTTGGAAGGCCATATAATTTACCTCAATTTAGGATAGACTCTTGAATTCTGAAAGAGTCAAAATAGGATGAACGGATCATATAAACCCGAAGGCAAATATAATACAAGCCCAAACGAAAAAATATAAACAAGTCTAAATTGAAAACAACGTTCAAACCTATGATTGCGTTGGATAAAAACCGCAATTTTTATACGTGTGCATGCAAAACAAATTTCTTGGTAGAGGGGTCTAAATACAGCACAAACAACATTTTCCAAAAGACCAAAATAAGTGAAAAAGTATATTTTAACAAAACGCATTTGACTAGCAGGTCGAACAACTGATGTTCTTAAACCCTGCTGACCGCCATTGGCGATTGCCAAAAAAAACGGATCACAAGATGTAACAAAATAGATCTTATTATTAAATTATTACCAAACAGAAAACAATAAACTTGCGGAAAAGATGGTATACCGCAAACATGAGGTGCAAAAATTTGTACACCATATCCGGATTTCGACAATTAATGTCTCTTCAGTGATGTTAGGAATCGAAACGGTATTTGGAAGGCCATATAATTTACCTCAATTTAGGATAGACTCTTGAATTCTGAAAGAGTCAAAATAGGATGAACGGATCATATAAACCCAAAGGCAAATATAATACAAGCCCAAACGAAAAAATATAAACAAGTCTAAATTGAAAACAACGTTCAAACCTATGATTGCGTTGGATAAAAACCGCAATTTTTATACGTGTGCATGCAAAACAAATTTCTTGGTAGAGGGGTCTAAATACAGCACAAACATCATTTTCCAAAAGACCAAAATAAGTGAAAAAGTATATTTTAACAAAACGCATTTGACTAGCAGGTCGAACAACTGATGTTCTTAAACCCTGCTGACTGCCATTGGCGATTGCCAAATAAACGGATCACAAGATGTATCAAAATAGATCTTATTATTAAATTATTACCAAACAGAAAACAATAAACTTGCGGAAAAGATGGTATACCGCAAACATGAGGTGCAAAAATTTGTACACCATATCCGGATTTCGACAATTAATGTCTCTTCAGTGATGTTAGGAATCGAAACGGTATTTGGAAGGCCATATAATTTACCTCAATTTAGGATAGACTCTTGAATTCTGAAAGAGTCAAAATAGGATGAACGGATCATATAAACCCGAAGGCAAATATAATACAAGCCCAAACGAAAAAATATAAACAAGTCTAAATTGAAAACAACGTTCAAACCTATGATTGCGTTGGATAAAAACCGCAATTTTTATACGTGTGCATGCAAAACAAATTTCTTGGTAGAGGGGTCTAAATACAGCACAAACAACATTTTCCAAAAGACCAAAATAAGTGAAAAAGTATATTTTAACAAAACGCATTTGACTAGCAGGTCGAACAACTGATGTTCTTAAACCCTGCTGACTGCCATTGGCGATTGCCAAATAAACGGATCACAAGATGTAACAAAATAGATCTTATTATTAAATTATTACCAAACAGAAAACAATAAACTTGCGGAAAAGATGGTATACCGCAAACATGAGGTGCAAAAATTTGTACACCATATCCGGATTTCGACAATTAATGTCTCTTCAGTGATGTTAGGAATCGAAACGGTATTTGGAAGGCCATATAATTTACCTCAATTTAGGATAGACTCTTGAATTCTGAAAGAGTCAAAATAGGATGAACGGATCATATAAACCCAAAGGCAAATATAATACAAGCCCAAACGAAAAAATATAAACAAGTCTTAATTGAAAACAACGTTCAAACCTATGATTGCGTTGGATAAAAACCGCAATTTTTATACGTGTGCATGCAAAACAAATTTCTTGGTAGAGGGGTCTAAATACAGCACAAACAACATTTTCCAAAAGACCAAAATAAGTGAAAAAGTATATTTTAACAAAACGCATTTGACTAGCAGGTCGAACAACTGATGTTCTTAAACCCTGCTGACTGCCATTGGCGATTGCCAAATAAACGGATCACAAGATGTAACAAAATAGATCTTATTATTAAATTATTACCAAACAGAAAACAATAAACTTGCGGAAAAGATGGTATACCGCAAACATGAGGTGCAAACATTTGTACACCATATCCGGATTTCGACAATTAATGTCTCTTCAGTGATGTTAGGAATCGAAACGGTATTTGGTAGGCCATATAATTTACCTCAATTTAGGATAGACTCTTGATATATATAACGTCTAGATATTAGTCAACGATCTTTCTTACGAGGGCCTTGGATGGTTATAAAAACGATACGGTACGCAAAAAATAAATTATATATACGCCTAAAACGTTTTCCAACACCAAAATTAGAAAAGAGAACATACAAATATCAATAATATTTGGATTACCTATATCCTTCATCAGTATGATGTAAAATGAATCTTATCAATCTATTCTGATTTTCCGAAAACAATTTTAAACGTTATACAAATTAAAAAACCGAACCACGCTTGTATAATTATAAAATCTCAAAGTTCACGCAAATTTGGTATTTACATCGGAGGTTGCGTATTTATGGATCCAAACTGAAACCACAACATCCAGCTGCTGTGGTTAGTTCGCGAAATTTGAACATTATCTTTTCATTGAACTCATTTGGAGGCAACGTTTTTAATTTTCTTGTCCAAAATCTGTCCTGTAGCATTCTCTCTCTGTGTATATATTGATAGACAGATAATATACGTTCATTTCAATAAGATGTTCTGATACAATAATTTTAAATGTGTAAAGTACATTAATTGTTGACAAGCCAAATATGGGCATTTTCTCAGAAAATTGTCAACAAAATGTAACATAAATTCAAAAGATATATGAGCTCTGCATTTAAAATGTAAATATACATGCTACGTGAAGAGGAGTACTGAAACTGATGTTTAGAACACGTCGACATAGAAATGATGAATTGATCATCCAAATATTTATACTCACCAAAATTTATAAACTGGTTACATCTTCTGCAGGAGAAAGGATTATTAAATGACATATATCAATCCGAAAACGCACACGTTTGCTGAAGCTGTTATTTGTCTAAATTCAAATAGAACACGGAAAATATTGATTACGGAGTTGATTCTGGAAAGTTGTATGCTTTAAAGCGATCTGTATGTGAATTAACAATCTATATGGAATAATCATTAAACTTGTTATATTATAAATACTAACCTAACGAATAAGGTTATATCTTACCAAAAAGTTCTTCCCTTAACTATTTGGTAAATTAACCCAATGGATATTACGTTTAAGCTGTACGCTTTGTGAATTATTACAGCCAATGAACAATAAAAAAAGTGTAACACTAAAAAAACATTTATAAGGAAAATTCAGTATATTGACATCCTCCGAATCATGCATTCAAAGAGTTAACACACCATGAACTTTTTATATGTAGAAACGGTTAATAAATTTTCGATTCGTCATTTTACTGCAGTTTTTCGTTGATTTACACATCTATGCATTTCTAAGTTTTTATTTCAAAAGAAAATATGTTTAAATGCATAAATGTTAGTTTAACAGTTCATTTATATTAAAAATGTCCATACAGTTTTCTTTTGTTGTTTAACATTTGATAATACAGGTTTAATATATCCTACAGATGCGCAAGAGCAAACGTCTAGCGGGAAGAATGACGAGGCGTACATAACATCAGTATCGACACAAGCTAAAGGTTCAACAGGTTTGTTTATAGTTTGTAGCAATTTGAGAAGTCCGTCCGTTTGTATGTCTGTCTGTCTGCCTGTGTTCGTCTATATAATATGTGCCTTGTAAGCGCAAATTCTCCAAACAAGCTGAATGCAAACTGCTGAAAAATGACACAATTGTAGAACACTACATGAGGATATCCTTAAGGGGATATAACCCTGTCTTACATGTCAAAGGGGAGATAATCGAATTACCTGTGAGTGGTTCATATTTGTAGGTACTTTACAGGTCTACGAAGAGAGAAGATAGCGAGTGTCATAGTTTCAAACGAAAACAGACAACACCATGGCAAAAACATACAACAAGTCAAAAATATTAAGTAAATTTATTAAGAATCCATAACGTATATTAACAGAAAATGATTAATTCGGTGAATGTTGAATCGCATAAATTAGTTGCATGTGCGCATTTAGGTTTGAAATTTTAAATAGAATTATTCTTTGTATGCTAGATTAATTTTAATTTACATCAGGTAAAGCAATTGACAATATTGTGATATAAATTTTTATCTATTTTACATGATGTTTATATCAATAATTGATTCGTAACTTTTTACTTACATCTTTTACAGCGTAAAACACCATTATGTGTTGTGTTTCTATTTTTCATAACAAAAAAACTTGTATTTTTGAAACAATAGAAACAAAGATTACCACATGTTACATACCCTCCGGAAATAAAGTGTTTGGGGTATATATGAAATACTCTGTCTGTCCGGCCGTACATCCGTCTGTCTATATGCCTGTGTCCATCTATATAATATGTGCCTTTTAAGCGCAAATTCCTTAAACAGGCTGAATGCAAACTGGTGAAAAAAGGACACAATTGTAGAACACTACATATGGATACACTTAAAGGGATATAACCCTGTCTTACATATTAAAGGGGAGATAATCGAATTGCATATGTGTGTTTTATATCTTTCGGGACTCCAAAAGTCTAAGAACAGAGACGATTTCGAGTGGGGCAATAAAAATCATGATTATTTCAAAAGAAAACAAACAAAAACGAACGACGAAAAGTCAACAATATTAACTAAATGATTAACAAAATTATAAAGTTGTGCTTGATATCAAGTTAGATATAAGTTGATAAAAAAAATCTGTTGATACTGATATCCGTGTGACCGACACGACACATGTTTCTGGAATACATTGTTTCAGGTATACTAGACACCAATGTTTTGAAAACAAAATATATTAAAGTCATATTAAACGAGTTTTTTTCTAATAATAATGTTCAGTAATATATTGAACCAGTACATGCATACATACTAAACTAAAACCTCTGTGGACATTTGTGTATTTATTAAGAAAGAATCCATAACGTATAATCAACACAAAATGATTCATTCGGTGACTGTTGATCTAAAACTTTAAATGCAATTTAACTATCTAGTTTTAGTGACGAAGTATCTGAAGGAATAAGAAAATGAAACTGTTTTCACGCCAATTCTCATACATCAGAATCGCATGAATCGGTTGCATGTGCGCATTTTGGTCTAATATCGTTAATAGAATTATTCATTGTATACTAGATTTATTTTAATTTACATTAGGTAAAGCAAGTGACAATATTGTGATATGAATTTTGATTTATTTTACATGATGTTGATATCAATAATTGCACAATCTGATACGTAACTTTTTACTTACATCTTTTATAAATTTACATATCTCATAAATTGTAATAAATTATTTAAGGTAGCACAACTTATGGGAGTTCAATAAATACAAAGTCTGATTTAGATGAGGAAAACACAAACATTTTCGGTAAAGCTTCAATTTTATTGCGCTTTATTTTTACTTTTTGTTCTTCTTTCATACTCTGTAACCAATTCTCTTTCTGAAGTATTTTAAAAAATTAAACAAAAAATGACGAAACTTGATTACGTCCATGCATGAGTATGAAGCTTTTTCTTTTAGTATGGAGATTGAATTTTTTTTGAGATACGGTGATCACTTCAATAGCTATATATGGAATTTATTGATTCACATGTTTTTAAATGTTTTATCGATGACAGTCTTCACTTATTTCTGATTTGTGAGCTTTTAGTTACATCATTGAAGATCCTCCAGCATTTGTCAAAGTAAATAAATAAAACCGCTTTTTCTTTATTGTGGATATATTTCCAATTATGTTGTGAAATTTCACATATTTTTTTCAAATACAAAATCTAGCAATTTTTCAAATATGATAACTTTTTCATATAGAACAATAACCTGTGTTATTGAATAGATAAAATCAAAAACTGTCACATGTACATGTGTCACACTCCCCGGAAATAAAGTGTTTGGGGTAAATAAGAATTACTCTGTCTGTCCGTCTGTCAGTCTATCTGCCTGTGTCCGTTTTTATACTGTGTGCCTTGTAAGCGCAAATCCTCACAACAGGCTGAATGGAAACTTATGAAATAACAAACAATCGTAGAACACTACCTGAGGATATGCTTGAAGGGATATAATCCATGTCTACCATATTAAAAGGGAAATAATCGATTTTTCTCTGAGTGGTATACATTTTTGGGGACTTCACAAAACAAAATTATAAAGTTGTGCTTGATATCATGTTAGATATCAGATGATAAACAAACCTTTGATACCGATATCCGTAAGACCGACACGAAACGTGTTTCTGCAGTACACTTTATCAGGTATACCCGATATCAATATTGTAAAAGCAAAATATGGTAAAGTCATATTAAACGAGTTGTTGTGATGATAATGTTACGGAATATATTGAATCAGTGTATGCATACATACTAAACTAAAACTTCTGTGCACGTTTTTTTTCATTTATTGAGAATCCACAACGTATAACAGACACAAAATATTTCATTCGGTGATTGTTGACCAAAACATTTTGACAATATCGTAATGTAAATTTTGATTTATTTTACATAATTTTGATATCAAAAATTACAAAATCTGAATTTTCCTTGGAGTTCAATATTTTTGTTGTTTTACTTTATACGTCACTTTTCACTTTCATCGTTTAGAGCCTAAAACGCCCATTATGTGTTGTGTTTATATTGTTCATAACCATAACGTCTTTTAAAATCTTATAGACTTGGGCAAACTTTATGTTTGCAAGGCGACAAGAGAAAACAGATAAACTTACTGAACTATTACAGATATATGTGACAGTTTTCCTAATAGATTAACCGATAAGGTAACGAGTTTTAGGTGAAAGAATATGTCAATGTAAATGACTTATTTGGATAACAAAGGCTTACAGAATTTGTAATATATTTTAAGGTCTTCCAACTCTAAGGAGTCCAATGAACGCAAAGTCAGATGAGGATAACACAACAAATATCGGTAAGGCTTTAATTTCGTAGCGCTTTATATATATTTTTTTGTTTTTAACTCCTGTAGATGAGTTTAAAAGCCTCAAAGAAGCTAAACTTGGTAATGAAGTTTCGAAAACCTTGCCTTATCGTACGTATCGGGGGAATTTTAAGTGGCGGATTCAGAGTCATGTTTCAGTGATTCCCTCTATAATGAACCAAATTTTTCCCACAAAAGGGCGGCCCGGGCCCCAGAGCCCCCCCCCCCCCCCCCCCCCCCCCCCCCCCCCCCCTTGGATCCGCCTATGATTTTTTAGCACGTGTACATGCATTTACGATTAAAAACTTTAGGCAACGACGAAGCAAATGATAATTTGAGTGTACAATTCATATTCATGATAAAGCAATACACTAGAAAAGCGCTGAAAATTACATTTTACAGGAGAAGAATTCATTATATATAATTGTAGTCAGCCGTTATTTGATAGTATAAGAGTTTTTCTTCAATTACAATTTGCAGAACAGTGGCTAATAATATTTTTTTTCATCTTCAATTTCGTACAAACTGCACATTTTCTGCATGTAAAAATGCGAGAATTTTCATTCAAGATACATTTATATCCCAATATCCATTCGTAATTATAATAATAATTTAAATTTATTTTATTTCTATAGAAATGTAGACAGTGTTTGTTTGTTTGTAATATTAGATAATTAGCACTAAATTTTTAAATAGAAATGATGCTTTCGTTTTGGATTATGTATAAATATTGACCACGAATAGTGAACTGTAATTGTTTTTCATCTGTCAAATCTTTAATTTAGATCTGTTTATCACTAGAAACTACCATAACCGACATGAACAAAATAGTGTATACATTCAACCAACTATTTTAAACTTTTTATAAATCCTTTTTTCATGTACTTCATTACTTTAAGTTTGAATATCAATTAAGGTAGATCGGTGTCTTCTGCCATCTCGGATTATAAAATAGCAGAAAATAATCGGTCTAGATCTTTAATGAAATGAGCAAATTTCGAGAGAAGATTGATTTCATTTCTTAAATTTTTCAACTGAATGTAGAAAATTATATGTTTTATCATATTTTTACGATTGTTTTTTACAAATACAGTATATCTTTTGTTTGATTAATTTTTGTTTTGCCATTTAAGGGGAGATAACACAGATAAAGTTACTTTTATAAAGGAAAGTGTTATGAATTTACCTACTTTGTTTTGCTTAAAATTCTATCATTAAGTTTTCTTTTTATCACACAAAGTTGGGATTTACATGCATAATCTATACAAATCTTGCCCAACCTGTAGCTTGAAAATCACCCTGTGACCCTTATGTTTTTTTTATTTTATTTCTACCTTAAATCTAATTTATTTACGTTTGTACATGTTGTTACCTAAGCTTTTTATGAAGGCCTACTTTTTAGGTAATCGCTCATGACGTGAGTACACATTCTTGCATAAGAAAATAGTGGTTTTGCATTTCATTTCGTTTATTAAAGTACTAATAATGACATAGAACATATCTGTGAAATTAACGCATGATTTTCGCCTCAAATTATGATTTTCTTAGAAACTGCCTCTTGAATCAAATCTTTTTTAAACCGTATAAGGAAAATAAAATTAGCTTATATTCTTTGTTTTAATAATATTTTTTTTCATTTTTTTTTTTAGTTCCAATTGTAGCTGGGAGCGTTGGGGGATTTGTAGCAATTTTGATTGTCGTAATAATTGTGTTAATTGTTAAAAGAAGGTATGCATTAATACATTGTTCTTTACCAATGATTTCATTCGTAACGACCTCATGCGTGTATTATCGAAATGTTGATACATAGGCATGTATACCATACATTATTCGTAAATCTAGCCTATCAAAGATACAAGGCTTATTATTTTGGTACGCAAGACGCGCATTTCATCTGCATAATACTCATCAGTGATGATCGAATCAAAACGGTCGGAATGCCAAATCAAAGAGCATAAAAAACAAAAATTACTAAACGTTGTGCAAAATAACGTTAAGGCAATCTATACATGGGGCAGAAAACCCTTATTGATACGAATTCAACATTTTATAAACAGTAAGTTTAAAGAAAAATGAATCGGGCCCGATTTGCTGGTGATACGTCTTACAAAGTCTATTCGAATCATTTTGCAAAACAAATCCCCTCAAACCGGTGCTAGGGGCCGTCTAAAACTTGCAATTAGGTGAGAGTTTTTTTTTTTTTTTTGTTCCGTGTTGAAGGCCTCGCTGTGACTTTGAGATGAAGAACAGCAATAAAAGCACTGTTCCTTTACTTTTAATGTGTTTTTGCTGTGTATGTACTGATTTTGTGTCATAGATGGATACCCCATATCCTTTGTTTTTCTATTATATCAATATTTCATGTCAACACAAAAGTGCTGACTACTAGGCTGGAGAAAAACTCGGGGACGAAACGTCCACCAGCATTAGCATCAATCCAGTTAATTATTACTAAAAAGAGATGCTCTGGTAAGCCGATCAAGTTTGATAAGACTCACAGTAGTTTTGTTTTTTTTTTTTTTTTTTTGGTTTTATTACAAGATAGGTGATAACGGTACATTTTAAATTTATTTATTTTTTACATAAAAAGATATGAATTATAGTCATTGTCCTAGGTTTTTCAGCATCTATGATCGAAAAAATCGGAAAAGGAAAAACCTTAAACATTGCATTTAAAAACATATCACCGTTTTCATTTTGTTGTTAAAAAGCGTTTTTATTTTCAGTCTATATTTATTTTGTTGTTTCTTGCAATAGTCAATGGGAAAATGAAATATGAATTAAAGGAGGTCTCCATTTACTTGTGACACACAATTTCCCCATAAAGGCGCGTTTAATGCTTCTCTTCATCTCACTAAAGTCTTCACGAATGTGCAAAGATCGTGCAACTTTCCTTAAACAAAACATAGGGTTCAACGTTTATGTGTATTTATACATTCAACACAACAAAACGGATACCCAGCGTTTGCAAAGGTTTTCTTTCTAGACGGAAGAAGCCAAGGGATTAACAAATTTCTACACTACAGTCAACCCTAATGGTTTATTTCACGAATGAATTTAATATAGTTTTAATATTGAAGATTTAATTCTGTCGTGATCTTTTTATATTTATATTTTAATAAACTTTTACATAAAATTATAAGATGTGCATGGCATATTCCAAACACTATCGCCACATTTAGTGTAGTAGAAAATAAACTCACATATTTTTAAAGTTTGGTACAATATTAGTTTTATTTTTACCCATTTATATCGTTTACTTTAAATTTGTGCTATTGAAAACACTGATTTTAGCGTTGTATATTTCTCTTTTTTTTTCTTGGTTTAGAGACTGGGTTTTTTTTTCGAGGGAGCTACAGGTTTTGATGTGGGTTTCTTTTTCGAACAATTTTATAAACTACATTTTTTTTATTTCTAACAGAACGAAATCAAACAACAAGCACGTGATTACAACTGTTGATCAGGGACAGCCTGAAACTTACTCAGAACCAATCAAGAATACCATTCTAGAAGAAAGTAGGAAGTTAGTAAATGTTACGGAAGAAGGAATCTATAATCATTTGGGAGACTCAGAAAATATGATTGAGATGAAACCACAAGATTCATCAATATATGATGTCACGGGAGATGATGAATACCACGTGTTTACTGCTAGCGGAAAACAACAGAAATTTAAAGACGATGATGACCTGTATGATCATGGGGCATCGAGTGATGTTTACAATACATTGAATGACACAGTTACGACAAACAGACCTGAATCAGACACATACAATGTTATTAATACTAAATGATCTGAACTGACAGTACGCTTGCCTAGCTTGGTTGACCGTTTTCATATTTATGTTTTACAGAGAACCGCATACATGTATTAACAATGAGAAAGCCAGATTGAGTCCTTAATTTGAGTTCATACGGTTTTTCAGCTTTAAAGTTCCTTTCTCCTTTTATCCTTCAAACTAACAAATGTAAGGTAAATCTTCTTATTTTCTAGAAGATATAAAAATGGCAATAAGTGTGAATAAAAGGAGATGTTGGCTATGTGTCAACGAGACCGGAACCAAATGAGAAAGATAGACGTATATAGTTCATTTTGTGTATTAGCATTTCATAACTATCATTTTTTTAAATGCTTTATTGTTTTATACTTTTCATATTTATATTTGTTTTACTATAGCATATCGAATGTTCAATTTTAAAGATGTATATAGAAAGTTGTAGAAAACTGTTTTAGTGTTCTTTTCTGTAAGAAGCGGAGAATAATTATATAACCTGGATGAAAATAATTCTGATATCGTTTAAGATCAAATATACGCGGATGGCTTTATTGGTGGTCTCTAAGATATTTTGTTTTTTATTTTGTAATTGTATTTTTAAGGCATATGAAATAATAACTGTGCGCGCAACGTGTGTTTCGGGATTGAATAATCTTGACCATGTACGCTCGAGACAAACAATTTTGAAAGCCAAATACAAAACTTAAAAGAAATTTTAATCTCCACGGCCTACTTAAGACTGCCAAAACCATTTGAAATCAACTTTGCCGGGTACTTTTAAACTAACCTTTTAAAAAATCCATAGTTTTATGAAATGTATAAATTGATTTTGGAGAAGGATAAAAAGTCATATCATAAAACAATTGTTGATTTTGATTTTAGTTGATACAATGATTTATCAACCCCAGAGGTATGATATTCGCCCTCGGTCGTTGGCCTCCGTAAATATCTCTGGTGTTGATAAATCATTGTATCAACCTCATCAAAAGTCATTAATTGTATATTAACAAAAGTAAATCAATGGAGCGTTATGAACTGGAAATTTCATTTGAGTCGGAACACACAGATTACATCTGAATATAAAAAAAATGCTTTATTTACATTTTTACTTTTACTGAGATAGAGTTGGTTTAAAACGTGTAAAATTTAACTTTTAATGTAAATAAAATTTTAATGCGTGAAGTCAATTCATTTTCCTAGCTTATGTGTTTATTAAGCTGTTATTGTGATGTTTTGTCTTATGCTACAAAATCACTATACAACTATTCCAATGGGAAAACAGTAGATGGGTAACAAGTGATTGATTAATTATTGGTTGCTAAACGTCCAGTGGCAAATATAATCATGCATGTTCAGGACGAGGGGTAACAAGCGATTAAAATACAAAAGTTAATAGTGTTTACTAAGTCAATGTACCAACACTTATAAATAGTTCATTTGAAACCACAATTCTACATTTTGTTTTAATTATCTGATTAGCTAAACGTGCAAATGTGTTTTGTCTAACTTAATTCATTTACGAGATGCTGGTGACGATGATGATGAATTATTGTTTAACGTTCAGTGGCAAATATTACATGAATATTAGGACGATTACATGTTAGCGAGATATCAATATGATCCCTTTTGTTTGCTAGTTGAAAAGGGAACAGAAAGACATGTTATCCTACTCTGCCACATTATTCTGACTCCTAGCCGATCATTCTATGTTTTAACTCCTGAATGCAGCGTGCTTACCTGCAATGTATCAAATACCAATTTCAGGTCTTTGGTTTTAGCCTCGGTGGGGGTGGAACACACGGCGTACTGTACACAAGGTGAGCACGCTACCACGAGACCGTTAAAGTAATTCCTAATGGTCGGGAAATTTGCATTATAAATGTGTTGCATTATGCGGGATGAATGTGCATGAGATAGAATTCACATTAAATACGCTAAAAAGTAAAAACCTCAAATCAAAAACGCTTCTATTGCTGAAAGTTGCTTAAATGTCTTCAAACACTACGCATAGCAGCCATTTACTTACACCCGAGTGTAGCTACATGTAGGTGGCCTAGGGAAAACTGAGGCATAAGTTGAAATCACCGATTGAAGCTAATCGATCAATCAAGTGGAATGCCGAAGCTCTCCTTCCGAAAATAGATTATAGTCAATTGAAGACTAGAGACAGAATGAGTTTTATTTGAGAAAAAGTAATTTTGGGTGAACTTAATGAGACAGTAGCTCACTATACTAAAGTCAACAAAAATAAAAATAGTCGGTCATCATACAGATTGACTAGCGTCTACACTGCATAACAAGCTCTGTGTGTATTGATCGAGCGAGGAATGTAGGTATATTATTTACAGACTATCAAACATCTAAAACTTATACCAAAATCGACAGAGTAGCAGTTTTTATCATTATTTTATTTTAAAAACAAGTCATAATAGACCATGATCCAGTGTATTCAAATTTTAAGAACCCTTTAAGCTACTGAAAAAATCTAAACACAATTTACAATATGCGATCTGCAATCTGCCCTCGATAATATTTTCTCAGATGGTGAACAATACCTTTTCCATTCGCAAATAGAATAGAGAAACATTTTTACATAATTTCCAAACTTTTAGTTACTCAATTGTCAATGATAAACACCGTCTATTTAAAACAATTAGATCACGCAACTGTGCGTCAGCCCCAGTGGTAGTTTCGATCGTGTAAGACTGCATTTGGCGTCGACTTATAAGCGGTACTTTTTGCAAGGATGACCTTGGGGGAAGTAATGCTATGGATTAAAATTTAAGGATAGTTTTGGTTTTCTAAAACACGTTTACGAAAAACCTGACGCTTGCACAAACGTATCGCTGGCCGGGTTTCACAATGTCTTATCTGCTATGAAGTCAGGATTACTACTTAATGAATGTACATCATCTGATAGAGGTTAAAAAATATAAATTGTAATGAAAATAGCCACAGTATATCAGATGACGGAAGCCACAAGTATATAAGTTCACGGAATTCATCATGTGTGCGGACGGAGATGAATTAATACACGGATCATGGTCTATTATGACTTGTTTTTAAAATGTGAGTACTTCGATAACAAGAAAACAAGCTCTACCGGTTGCATAATTATGTCCGCTGCGGGATCAACAATCGATCATATTTCAATTATTATCAGGGACTTAGCGTCGGTATTCTAATAATCCTTTAACTCATAAATGGTTTTAGAGCTTTTAAATCAAGTTTTCAAGAATTTGTTTTATATCATGAATGAAATTATCGTTGTCAATATAAAAATAAGGAGATGTGGTATGATTGCCAATGAGACAACTATCCACCAAGGTTCAATTGAAGTGGATGTAAGCAATTATAGGCAACCGTAATGAGATAAATCCATACCGTATGGTCGACTATAAAAGGTCCCGACATGAAAAATATGAAACGATTCAATTGAGAAATATATATATAAACAAGTCTAAATTGAAAACAACGTTCAAACCTATGATTGCGTTGGATAAAAACCGCAATATTTATACGTGTGCATGCAAAACAAAGTTCTTGGTAGAAGGGTCTAAATACAGCACAAACAACATTTTTCAAAAGACCAAATGAGTGAAAAAGTATATTTTAACAAAACGCATTTGACTAGCAGGTCGAACAACTGATATTCTTAAACCCTGTTGACTGCCATTGGCGATTGCCAAATAAACGGATCACAAGATGTAACAAAATAGATCTTATTATTAATTTATTACCAAACAGAAAACAATAAACTTGCGGAAAAGATGGTATTACGCAAACATGAGGTGCAAAATTTGTACATCATATCCGGATTTCGACAATTAATGTCTCTTTAGTGATGTTAGGAATCGAAACGGTATTTGGAAGGCCATATAATTTTCTTCAATTTAGGATAGACTCTTGAATTTTGAAAGAGTCAAAATAGGATGAACGGATCATATAAACCCGAAGGCAAATATAATACAAGCCCAAACGAAAAAATATAAACAAGTCTTAATTGAAAACAACGTTCAAACCTATGATTGCGTTGGATAAAAACCGCAATTTTTATACGTGTGCATGCAAATCAAATTTCTTGGTAGAGGGATCTAAATACAGCACAAAAAACATTTTCCAAAAGACCAAATGAGTGAAAAAGTATATTTTAACAAAACGCATTTGACTAGCAGGTCGAACAACTGATGTTCGTACACCCTGTTGACTGCCATTGGCGATTGCCAAATAAACGGGTCACAAGATGTAACAAAATAGATCTTATTATTAATTTATTACCAAACAGAAAACAATAAACTTGCGGAAAAGATGGTATTACGCAAACATGAGGTGCAAAAATTTGTACATCATATCCGGATTTCGACAATTAATGTCTCTTCAGTGATGTTAGGAATCGAAACGGTATTTGGAAGGCCATATAATTTTCTTCAATTTAGGATAGACTCTTGAATTTTGAAAGAGTCAAAATAGGATGAACGGATCATATAAACCCGAAGGCAAATATAATACAAGCCCAAACGAAAAAATATAAACAAGTCTTAATTGAAAACAACGTTCAAACCTATGATTGCGTTGGATAAAAACCGCAATTTTTATACGTGTGCATGCAAATCAAATTTCTTGGTAGAGGGATCTAAATACAGCACAAAAAACATTTTCCAAAAGACCAAATGAGTGAAAAAGTATATTTTAACAAAACGCATTTGACTAGCAGGTCGAACAACTGATGTTCGTACACCCTGTTGACTGCCATTGGCGATTGCCAAATAAACGGGTCACAAGATGTAACAAAATAGATCTTATTATTAATTTATTACCAAACAGAAAACAATAAACTTGCGGAAAAGATGGTATTACGCAAACATGAGGTGCAAAAATTTGTACACCATATCCTGATTTCGACAATTAATGTCTCTTCAGTGATGTTAGGAATCGAAACGGTATTTGGAAGGCCATATAATTTTCCTCAATTTAGGATAGACTCTTGAATTTTGAAAGAGTCAAAATAGGATGAACGGATCATATAAACCCGAAGGCAAATATAATATACATATATAAATTTTAGTGGATTACAAATATTATAAAAGGCTTATACAATTTTTTAGATTTACCAATTAATTTTTTTGGAGAATGTATTAACACTGGAAAGGGAGGGGTAATGTCTAAACCAAGAGTTCTAAATGGTAAAGTTGAAATCATCCCTTCGTAAATTTTACTGACACCATCACGTGTTGGTTGACCGTTATGGAATATCCGTTTCACAGATGATAGCAGATATGTTCCTAATGTCGTAACTACAATCCCATCCCCTTTTCACGAATGTGACCTACCGAGTTAGACTTGATACCGGGTTTGTACTAACATGAACAAAACGACTTGTGCCACATGTGGAGCAGGATCTGCTTACATTTCCGGAGCACATGAGACCCCCCCCCCCCCCCCCGTTTTTGGC